GGAAACCCAGTGGGGGTTGCTATGAATGTAATCAACTCAGTGGCATTGAGTTTGGATTTGGTATCACAAGAGCAGTAGAACTTAGCTACTGTTAGAAATTTGAACATGGCTAAAATGAGATTTTATAGTGTATTTCCAAGTTCAAAAAAATGTAGAAGAAAAAACAATGTTAGTTTGAGATCTATAGGAAGGGTTTATTTTGTTTAATCTTACAGAAAGTGGAGTTAAAGATACCCAGAGGCAGGCGAGGCGAATGGAAACTACAAAGGCCAGGAAGTTAAGGGTAAAAGCTCAAATCATGAATCCACTGGGATCTGAGGTCAGGACAATGCTGTCCTGGGAGTCACCATCAAGACCACTAGATTTGAAGAGCACTGTTTCGTGAACAATTGCGTGACATGTCCACAACACTAGCAGTAGGGATCCTATCATTCCATAGGCCTGTCTATCCCCATCTGGTTCCCTCTTTGACTTGCCAGAAGAACAAGATGATCTATGGACCCTCTGTCTCCATCTTTTCCTGATGGGTCTAATATCCAGCTGTGGGTCCTGCCTCGTACACTACGTCACGTTCTTTTCATGTAGGTGGCACATAACAATTACAGCTAAAGAAGGGAACTCCCTTAGCCCTGTTACAGAGTGCCAAACAGCACTCTTGCCCAAAATTAATAAACAGAAGCCTGTAATGAAAATCCCTTCACCCCAAAGCATTAATAACTGAACTCTGAAAAACAAGTCAAACATTTCCTATGAAATAAAAGTAGGTTTCCAGCAGAAAGGATGTTAAGCAAAACAGAACTGCCCAAGTGAGTTCTTGTATAAATGTAAGCTAAAGATGTGCTTTGTGAAAATAAAGTACACTCATTATCCACACTGTAACAAGATACTTTAATGTGTTTGGGTTACGAAGTAACAATTCTGTTAAACTGTTACCCTTGTTGAAACAGGATTCTGGTTATTAGTTAATACCCTGGGGAACCAGTCACACAAAGCAAAAGTTATTATAAAGACAGTCAGTCTTAGCTATTCCAAATAAAATAAAACCAAGATCTTTTAGCTAAGAAAAAGTTAATATTGTTTCATCATCTGTGGAAATGCTCTCACAGTAGCTAATGCTAGTGAAGAAGAAAACTTAATCTTATAAATTCTTAATTCTTACCATCTTTCCGTAGTGATACCACCTTGGAAACCCAAGGAGGGGTCGCTGTGAGTTGGGTGTTGAGTCGATGGCACGTAACAACAACAACACTGTTAAAGTAAGGAGCTCTGGTAGCGTAGTGTCTAAGGCATTTGGCTGCTAACCAGAAGGTTGGCGGTTCAAATCCACCAGCTGCTCTGTGGAAGTGGAAGGAAGACTGGGCAATCTACTTCCGTAAAGATTTACCACCTTGGAAACCCAATGGGGGTCACTATGAGTCAGCATCAACTTGATGGCAGTAAGTTTTTTTTTTTTTTTTTTATTGTTAAAGTTAATACTTATGGGAGATCCTAAATTCTCAAAATCAGCTAAAAAGTATTTGATGACGGCCAAATGATAAGGAGATACTCAATTTAATGAACACAGTGTGTTACTGTGGAGTCAAGAGCTGTGGTAGCCCTGCGATCCAAGGTGCAAGGAGATTATTACACCTTACCTTGGCAGGCTGGGGTAATATGGCTACAGTCATGGTGCTTGTGTGGATGCGGCCCTGCCTTTCTGTTGCTGGCACTCTCTGCACCCTGTGCACACCTCCTTCAAATTTCATGTGTTTATAAGCTGCTGTACCCCCTATGCTGGCCGATGCATGTCTCAGGCCACCTGGGTAAAACAGGGAAAAGGCAACACTTTTATTATTCATGCCATTTATGAATAACTGGCCATCATGCCTACTATCTAGAAATATATTTAAAAGAGCCACAAAAGAATATCATATAGACTGAAAACCATATTAAGAAACTTTAGCACATTTATAATGTTCAATGTTTAACATTTTCATTGCTTGTATTATTAAACATAAAAATTCACAGTGCTAATGAACTGACTGTGTAACAGATCTAAAAAAGCACTTTCAAAGTCACATCAGGGATGCATTGTCAAGTTGGCCACCACTGCCAGTGCCTTGTGCCTGGTCCTGTAGGACTTTCTGAGAAGCCTGTGATGGGTGTCTCAGGACTGTCCATAGTGGGAAACACATGCCCGTCCACTTCCACTCTCCAGCCGTTTGGCCAAGGTCTCCCACGGGCAATTATTCCCCACCTTTCTGGGTCTACGTTTGAGGGGTTCTCCAGGGCAGGTAGATAGAAGTAGAGATTCAGGAGAGGAGAGATGCTCCCCAAAAAACCCACTTTAAAAAGACCATTAGTCATTCAATGGTTAGTATTTTATAGGTCCTTTCAAAATTGGTATATTTGTCTTCAAAATTATTAGGTAACCGAAGAGCATAAAACTACTTAAGCACCCTTGTAGACCAATTCTCAGGCTTAGCAATGGTCCCTCCTGCCCTTCTCCTAGGACACATTTAGATAAATTAAATCTACACTTTACCCAAACAAATCAAACATGATACTCACCTATTTCACTTGGAAAATATTCCAGAGGTTCAAAATGCCACCTTTTAAATGCAGCATATTGCTGATACATCTCAAACATCTCTGAAGTAAACAGCATTGCCTCCTGACCCCCGACTCCTGCAGTTACCTCCAGAATCAAATCATTCTCATCTGTTTCTTCTGAGGGAACCAAGAGGGAGATAATCTGTAAATACAAAAATGCCATCCCTTCTGTAACTAAGAACTAAGTTAATGCATAACTTCCAGAAAATATTTACGGCTGTATTATAAATGCTGCAAGGTTCAGCTAAAACTTATATAGGCCTGTTTCTCTTTCTTTCTGGAGTTCCTATATACTTGCTATTGATTCTCTCTTCAGTTAATGAGAATTAAGTGCTTGCTGTGCGTAGGACACTCTACTGTAGGAATCTAGCTCTAGCTGCCTTTCTCTTCCCTGGCAGAAAAACAAAAGCACTCAAATTGCATTGTTTTTCTAAAGCCTACTTAGTGTGGAAAAGAAACTTGTAATTTTGGAATCGAAAGGGCCCTTAACGATGATTTGGTCTAATTCCCTCATCTTACATGTTAAATGAAACCGAGGTTAAGAAAGGTGAAATGACTTGTTAAAGGGCAGAGTGCTAGTCCTGGCAGAGCAGGCCCATTAACCCAGTCTCAGCATGCCTCCGTCAGTCCTCCTCCCATTACTGCATCATGTGTCACTATGTCCTAGCTAAGGGGATACAGAAGGCAGCTTCTTCGGATAGGTGAATTACTAAGAAAACGCTATTAGCATTTACTGGTTTCTTAACTTCCACTAGGTATTTAAAGCACTTCATGTACTTTAATTCTTAAAGTAACCTTGGGTAGGTACTTTTAACATTTCTCCCTTAAGATGTGAAGTTGCAGGGTATTATGCATTGGATTTTGTCCCTCAAAATATGTATTATAAATCCTACCCCCCATACCTGTGGTTATAATCCCATTTGGGAATGGGTTTTCTTGTTATGTTAATGAGGCAGGATTGATTCAGTCTCTTTTGACCTATAAAAAGAGCACACTGAGCTAGTAATCAAGTAAGCAAGCACAGATGGGGGACCACAGATAAGCCACAGGAAGATCATGGAGGAGACAAAGAAAAGAAGTTGAAAAAAGATAAGGGCCTTCCTCTAGAGCTGGCTCCCTGAATTCAGACATCCAGCCTCCTAAACTGTGAGAAAAAAATTTTTTAAAGCCACCCACTTAAGCTTTTTGTCACAGCAACACTAGATAACTAAGACAGAGGAACTGAGTAATCTAGTTGCCCAGTATCATACAACCAGAAAGCAGAAGAGCAAGAACCCAAGTTGACTTCATTTTGGAACCATCATACTTTATGTTGGTTGGGGGCTATACCTGTTGCTACTTCTTCCAGTTCTCTAGCCTATAGATTGACACAGTGGCTGCAACAGTGAGCTCAGACACAGCAAGGATTGTGAGGATGGCACGGGACTGGGCAGTACTGTGTTCTGTGTACATAAGGTCACTGTGAGTCTGAACCGACTTAACGGCACCTAATGCTAAAAAAGCCTATGGCAGTGTAATGTGATTATTCAAAAGTGGAACTAACAACCTATAGACTTTACTTCTCTTTATTACTAGCCAATGAACAGAAACCTTAAATTTCCTTCTGTTTAACAAAAAAATTAGAAAATATGTAGAAGGCAAGCTATACTAGAGTTTTCACCCTGTAATGGAATTTTCCCCATTGGGTATTGCTGAAGACATTTATTTTTAGTAAGTTCTACATTTGGCTAGAGAAGAGGTACAGCCTCTAAACCGCCCTTCCTGCCTCATTCCTCACCTTACCATGTTCTTCCACCTACATCCCCAGCGGTAACTGCTACAAACCAATAAGCTCTGCTTTACGGAATTAACACAGAACAAACCCTGGTTTTAATTTCATGTTTTTTCTTCAACTTGCTGGAAGTGAGAATGGCCAGACTTTATTTGACCTGTTTTAGTCATGCTGTCAGAAGGGATCATTTCCTGGAGCAGGCTATCATGCTTGGTCACGTGGAGGGTCAATAAAAAAGGGGAAGGCCCCTCGACGAGATGGACTGGCACTGGTTGCAATGATGGGCTCAGGGATAGTGAGGCTTATGGAGCTAGCGCAGGACTGGACAGTTTCATTGTTATACACAGCGTCACTATGAGTCAGAGCTGCCTAGACAGCACCTAACAACAATATTCTTCATCTAACTCCCTTGTAAGACCGCTGGATATAAAACCAAAGCAGTTCAATTCAGTTCTTGAAATATGAGGGCCTACTCTATGTCCCACAGTCATCAGCATACTCTAAAGGAGGGAAGATGACGATGCTTCATTTTACATACGTTTTTGGGATGTGTTATCAGGAGGGACCAGTCTCTGGAGAAGAACCTCATGGCTGGTAAAGTAGAGGGTCAGTGAAAAAGAGGAAGACCCTCAACAAGATGGATTAACACAGTGGCTGCAACAATAGGCTCAAGCAGAGCAGTGTTGGGAGCATGATGCAGGACCAGGATGTGTTGTGTTCTGTTGTACATGGGGTCACCATGAGTTGAAAATGACTCGCTGGCACCTAACAACAACACGCCTTAGGGCTGGCACTCTAACAGTGCCACAGACAAAAAATACAGAAATACTTCTGCCTCAGAGGAGCTCATCATCTACACTGCAGGAACTTCTACACTCCTTGCAGCCCCCACTTCTGTTAAACAAGAAAACCAAACTCACTGCCGTCGAGCTGATTACATTCACAGCAACCCCTCCTTGGGTTTCCGAGGTGGTATCTCTATGGAAGTAGATTGCCCAATCTTCCTTCCAAGGAGTGACTGGTAGGTTTGAACCACCAGCCTTCTGATTAGCAGTCAAATGCCTTAGGCACTATGCCACCAGAACTCCCATAAACAAACAAGAGGGGGACCATAATGCCAATATTTCATTGCCTTTCCAGCAAATGTTCATGTAACACTAGTCCTTCTTTCAAAGCTCTACGGTCTTTTTAGTAAGACAGACAAAACCACAAAAAGCAGCTTTGCTCCTGCTATAAGCAGCAGTTTATTCTAAACAGTAAGCCACATGTTTTGGTTCTCCAGTGCCACCATAACAGACATGCCATAAATGGTTGGCTTGAATAATCAGGGAATTATTCTTTTACAGTTCAGGAGGCTAGAAGTGCAAATTCAGAGTGCTGGCTTGTTCTGGTTAGCTAGTGCCATTCTCACAGGAATAACCACAAATGGGACAGCTTGAACAAATAGGAGTTTATTCTCTTACAGTTCAGGAGGCTAGAAGTGCAAATTCAGAGTGCTGGCTTGTTCTGGTTAGCTAGTGCCATTCTCACAGGAATAACCACAAATGGGACAGCTTGAACAAATAGGAGTTTATTTTCTTACAGTTTGGAGGCTTTAAGTCCAAATTCAAAGTGCCAGGCTCTGGCGGCTGTGTGAAAGGCCTTCGACCTTGGGCTTCAGCTCTGCCTCTTGCTCCCAGCCCACTAAAGCTAGAGGCATCTCTTCACTCAGGCAGCTACTGGCTGCTGAGGTTAACAAGCCCTAGGTCAACAAAAATGGCACAGTCCTGATGTTACCAAACCACACGGCAGGCCACTGATTCAAGTCCAGTGAAAGTCCTAAGATCAGCAGAGCATGGCAAGCTGCTGAACGACACGGCTACACACAGGGTTCAAGCATGCTGTAAGCTAGAGACTATCCCCAAGGCTTCTCCATATATATGGGAAGCAGACCACATCCCCGAAAGCAACTACTCAGCTGCTCCAATACATGCCACCATGGAGTTAATTACCAATCTCACCATGGGAAATAATTACATTCAGCTGCCTAGCCACTCAACCAGGCCCAGCCAAGCTGACACATGAGCTTAACTACCACATGGCTCTAGGTGCTGGGTGAAGGCCCTTTGACCTTGGACAACTGCTGACTGCTGAGGTTGACAAACCCAAGGTTGACAAGTAAAATGGCATAGTCTCAAGATTATCAAGCAACACAGCAGGCCACTAGTTCAAGTCCAAAAACAGTCCCAAGGTTAGCAGGCAACATGACAGGCTACTGAATGAAGACTTGGCTACATGCAGGGTTCAAGCATGCCAAAAAGCTCAAAGACTTTTCTTAAAGTTTCTCCTTACATACTGGAAGCAGACCACATCCCTAAGACAGCTGCTCAGTTGCTCCAGTAGATTCCACCACAAAGTTGATTACCAGTCTTATCATGGGGAATTACTACATCCCAGCCACTCAAAACCAGGCCCAGGCAAGTTGACACATAACCTTAACTACCACACACAGCTTGAATTGCTTTTATAAAGCTCTAGTAAAATGCATTAGAAGTAATAGTATACATGCTTTGCAAATACCATACCTGATGTTTCAATTGAGTTATTTCTTTTTGACACAAAGTTATTTCATTCTCTGCAAGTTTCCTTAGGTCTTCATTCTCATCTAAGAAAAATGCAGCAGGTCAATTTTTCCATAGTGTTAAATTGCCAATGGACCCCAAGGTAAAAGTTTTATTGCTACTGCAGCTGAAGACAAAGTGTCTAATTTGCCATTTTAATAACTGTCATTATTTAAAAGTAGTATTTTATACATTAGTCTTCAGAAGCTACTTAAAAAACTTTTATTCTGATGAGAAAAGAATTAAAAATAAAAACATCAAAATATAAACAAGCTAAAATTTTTTCTATAATGTGACCTCTATAAAATATAAGAACAAATACGTTCCAAGGCTGTAATATTTATGGAAGCTGATGGCCTCATCTTTCTTCTACAGGGTGGCTGGTGGATTCAAACTACCAACTCTCCGGTTAGCAGCTGAGCACTTAACCACTGCACCACTAGGGCATCTCTATAGAGATTGTTGTTGTTGTTATGTGCTGTCAAGTTGGACCTGACTCATAGTGACCCCTCCTTGGGTTTCCGAGGCCATTATCACTATGGAAGTAGATTGCCCAACTTTCCTTCCGAGGAGTGGCTAGTGGGTTTGAACTGCCAGCCTTCTGGTTAGCAGTCAAGTGCCTTAGGAACTATGCTACCAGAGAGCCTCTGTAAAGATTACAGCCTTGGAAACCACATGGGACAGTTGTGACTCAACAGCAACAGAATTTTTTAGCAGTGCCTGATACATAGTAACTGGAAAGAAGATTGGGCAATCTACTTATGTAGTGTATACCACCTTGGAAACCCAAGTAGGGGTGGCTATGAGTCCAAATTGACTGGATGGCATTGAGTTTGGCTTTGGTTTTTGATACATAGTAAAGGAGCTCTTTCATTTACATGGCATTTTCAATCGCCTCCTATGCATGTGAGAGCTGGACAATGAATAAAGAAGACCGAAGAGTTGATGCTTTTGAGTTGTGGTGTTACAGAAGATTGTTAAGAGTACTATGGTCTGCTAAAAGGACTAACAAATCTGTCCTGGAAGAAGTACAGCCGGAATGCTCCTTGGAAGTGAGAATGGCCAGACTCCGTCTCACCTATTTTGGTCATGTTTTGAGAAGGGACCGTTCCCTGGAGAAGGATATCATGCTTGGTAAGATGGAGGATGGACGAAAGAAGGGAAGGCCCTCAACAAGATAGATTGACATGATGGCTGCAGTGATAAGCTCAAGTATAGCAAGGATCATGGAGCTGGGCAGGACCAGGCAGTGTTTAGTTCTGCTGCGCTGAGGGTCACTGTAAGTTGGAGATGACACGATAGGACCTAACAACAACAAAGGAGCTCTGGTGGCATAGTGGCTAAGGTATTTGGCTGCTAACCAGAAGGTCAGCAGTTCAAAGGTACCAGATGCTCTGCAGGATGACAAAGGGCAATCTATTTCCATAAAAGATTTATAGCCTTGAAATCCCACTGGGGGTCTCAGTGAGTCAGAATCAACTCGATGGCAGTGGGTGTGGTTTTTGAATTATACATAGTAAGAATTCATCATTTGCTAAATGATTTCTGTTGTTTTTAAGCTCAGTTGCATTCTGCCAGCAACGTTCAGAGTTTTGTTAACTTCTCTGTGGTTTGAGATTTAAAATATTTAACCCTTAAATCCACTTGAATTTTAAGCTTGGTTTAAGATACGAAATCAATTAGAATTTACCAAAAAAGATATCTATGCCAACATTATTAATTACTCCTTTGCACGGTGTAGGCATGTTCCTTTTCTGTTAAATTATTTAATCTACACTCTTCTTAATCCTCATTTATATCTTAATCCATTAGCTTCCTAATTGATTTCCATGGCACCTTCAATCCCTATTCCAAAGTGACTTTTAAAACTGCCACAAATCAAGCTAACCCTTCACTTCTTCACAGTGCTCGAGTCCATTCCGACTCATTGCGACCCCTCTGGTAAGCACAGTGGCTTGCCTGCTAACCAGAAAGCTGGCGGTTTAAACCCACCAGCCACTCCTCTGAAGGAAGGTTGGCTATGAGTCGGGTCTGACTCGGCACATAACAACAACCTCCCCTTGGATTTCAAAGGTGGTATCTCTACGGAAGTAGATTGCCCAGCTGTCCTCCTGAGAAGTGCCTGGTGGGTTTGAACTGTCAGCCTTCTGGTTAGTGGTCAAATACCTTAGGCGGTATGCCACCAGAGCTCCTAATAAATGTCCACTTGTTATGTTGTACAGAAGGGGACCAGGCATGACCACTGAACCAAACTAAAAAAGGCTGCACCTAAGTCCAAAGCCTCAAATTCGGGTAGTTTATAGACACCTGGCAACCGCTTAGCGGAAAAGGCAAATGAAGAGGCACAAATTCAGTGGCATCATTAGTGGGGCGTGGACTGCACTGGGTGACACCCTCAGGGTGACACCAAAAATGACTGCCTACAGAACTTTTGTGCAATGCTTCATAGGTAATCTGAAAAAAAAAAAATTTAATAAAAATATCCCTGCAGATAATTTTAACAAAAATGTATTTTTCTAAAGCCTAGCTCACATGGATCAATATACCTACAAGGAACACTCTATGAAGATTTGCTTTTTGAACCTAATGCGCTACAGTCAGAATTGTCATTATTACCCAATTACAATGACTCTTCAAATCAAGTGGTTTCATCACGTTTTGGTGTTTATTTTCTAGTGTTCTGGTTACCATATTGTAATTGGTATTTGTAAATCTGTATCAGTAACTTTTTAAGAGCGATGTAGTAATCAAAGGAAAACAAAAACTTGAAAAAGGTTTCTGTGCAGTTACTAACGTAACTCAATGCAGAAAGGTTTTAAAACTTTATTAAATATTTACATCTAAGAGCTCTGGTAGCGTAGTGCCTAAGGCACTTGACTGCTAACCAGAAGGCTGGTGGTTCAAACCCACCAGCCACTCCTCGGAAG